CTGCATGCGGGGTAGGGTGGGATATAAATTAAATAAATAAATACCTCTTGTCCCAACCAAACAATCTGCAAGTGGTCATCTAGTCCCAATGAAGTCCCCTATCCTGAAGTGAAAGCATAGCAGCCATCCCAATGGACGATACTGTGTCTAACGATCCAAACTATCCTGATGAGGCCTGAAGAAATTAAAAAGCGATGAGTAGAAAGACCAGAGATAAGCTGAGGATCTCCAGCCTTGCACAGAATCAAGGAAGATCCCAAGGTAAACCAGGCATGTGCATGGGCCCTCTGTCTTATCCTTTGCCAAAGGGACCCCCAGCTCCCCAGATCACGTGACGCTGGGCTTTAAATAAACCAGGAGAAGGGCTGGGCAGCATGAATGTTCACCCAAGCCTGCCCCCAGCTGGTCCAAGGAGAGGAGCCAGCAAACAGACTGTGATTGGCCAGCAGCCAGGGAGACTGCCCACAGTACCTAGAGTCCCGGAAACCATCATGGGCCATCTGGAGCCTGTCATGGCACGTGGCCTCCAACCTCATGGGAGTCTAAGCCCTGTGACTGCAAAAGTGGCCACCAGTAAGTCAGTGGCCACGGCTTGTATTAGTGTGGTGGAAGAGTATCAGAGCACCAGGGTTGTTTGGAGAGACAATCAAGTTTGATTTGATGCATCCTTGATTAATTACAACCGTTGGTTTCAAAGGAGGTCAGTTTTTTCGCCGCCCTGAGCCCATGTTGGAAGGGTGGGATACACATTTAATAAATAAATAAATAAATAAATTTTCCAAAGGAGGGAGATTCCCTTTTCTCTGGGGCATTCATCGAGGATTTAGGAATAGCAAGACAAGGACTCGCTGTTGGTGCCCTAATGGAGGAGGACTGTTTTAGGCTCTTCAGAGTGGATACCATATGTTCAAGTCGGTTTATCAGGGAGTCTTGTTTGCATTCAGGTAAATTGTCAAGTCTACCTGATCTCTCACTGGAGAAGACCCTGATGCTGGGAAAGATTGAAGGTCAAAGAAGACGGGGACGGCAAAGGATGAGATGGTTGGACAGTGTCATCGATGCAACGAACATGAAATTGAGCCAACTTCAGAGGACAGCGGAAGACAGGAGGGCCTGGCGGGATCTGGTTCATGGGGTCGCGAAGAGTCGGACTCGACTGTGCGACTGAACAACAACAACATACGACAGGGTCAGGTATAAAGTGGGTGTTTTTGAAGAGTTGGGTGTGCTTGCTTTGTTGCTATGCACCCTCTTGCAAGAGTATATCAATAAAAGATAATTCTGCTTCATCAGAAGTCTGACTCCAGTACTTTTTGGTAAGATAAATAGCTTTTCTGACAGGAAGGACCTCAGTGGTGTATAATGTCATACAGTCCACCCTCCAGCACAGCCATTTTATACAGAGGAATTGATCGCTGTTGTCTGGAGATCAGTTGTAATTCCGGGGGATCTCCAGGCCCACCTGGAGGCTGACAACCCTGGGGACAGTGTTTGCTGATATTTCAATGGGTTCTTATAGGCCCAGTTGATCTTCCCATAGCAGGCCACCACAGAAAGGAGAATCCAGATTCACTAGCATCAAGGCATTACTGAGACTAATTATATCATCTCTCTCTGCCAGAGAGCACCTTATAGTGAAAAATATGCTTTCGGACTCATATTTAAAGATGCCCTTAGTTACACTTGGGATAAAGTTAGCTGTGACAAAGACTACGAAGTTCTTGCTATACACAATGATATGCAGTTATTGCTACACTGGAGTCACACTTCATGGAATAGGAGCCAAAATCCTTATTAAAATATAGCATTCAAAGCCGTGTGCAAACTTCATCTAATCCAGGATGTGCTAACTTTACCCACTTAGGACTCTTCATTGTTTTTATTCTGTCCCCAACTTTAAAATCCTGAGCAGAATAGAACCATCTTTCTTCCTTTGGTGTGAAGCATTACATCTGTCTTCTTTGTATCGATTGTAGCTCTCCAATTTATCAAGGTCATCGGAGACTTTTAAATCCTGTCTTTTAAAGTGTTTACAATCCCTCCTCATAGGTTTGTTTCCCTAACAAATACATACTTTGTTTTCTATCCAAGATGTTGCTGATGAGGATATTGATCGATGCAATCTACTGCTTTCAGTGAATATGAGAACAACAGTCAGTCACTACATTTACCATCACCCCTTTCAATTACTTCCCTTAACAAATTCCCAGTTTAGGGTCAGAGACTGTGGATAAGTATGGGAATGCAGAGTGGAACCTTAAGGAAAGATTGCATCAGTGTAGATGTTCTTTATAAAAAAAAGATGTGAAATAAAAATTTCAATTTAATTCTGTAAACCCAAAAAGCTTCTTGGAATTAGACATGACTTGGTGATGAGAGAAATGAGAGCTTTTTGTCATGATAAAAGAGAACTCAGTTTTTTCAATGATGTGTAAATAATTGGTTTGATTGGCAGACACGTAGTCCAACAGAAGACATCCAGCCAATTATACCCATTCCTTGCCTCAAAAACCAGCAGGGGTGGGGACAGAAGGTCATTTCCTGTGCAAAAACTGAAAGTTAAACTGTAGAGTTTGGGGTGAATCTCAGACCATAGTTCTAACATCATGATATCACTTCTGGTTTTGCACTGGTAGTGACATTATGGGCCCCATTCCTCAGTTCTTCCCAGCAGGCTGCTGGCAACCATAGTGGAAATTCTTTTGAGTCTGCACAAATCTGTAAATTTCTGAGGTTTGCCCTAACTCAGTGGTAGACCACAGTCAGATCCAGGCCTTGGCAACTCGCACCAAAAGGCAGCAGGTATGGGCAGGGTCAACCTAAGGTTTTTTTATGCCCTAGGTGAATTATTACTTTGGTTCTCCCCACCCCCCATATTAAACATATGTAAACAAACATAATGAAACATCAACCAGTTCATTCCAAGGGCTGCAATCCTAAACAAGCTTACCTGGGAGTAAATCCCATTGAACACAGTGGGACTTACTTCTGAGTAGGCATGGTAGACATGCATATGAGGAGTTCTGGTTTGGCTCCCTCTTTGTCTTGCCTCCAGGACTCCTGGGGTTGCCTGCAGCCTTCTGTTTTGGTGCCCCCCCCCAGTTCTGGAGCTGTAGGCAGTCACCTAGGTTTGGCTAGTGACTGGACCAGCCCTGGGCATGGGAAGGATTTCAGCCTTAGACAGTGGAGAGTTGGTGCCTGTCAGAGTAGATAGTACTGGGCTAGATAGATCAAAGATCTGACTCAGCTTCATATCAACTGATAGCACGGTTATTATTACATGGCAAAGTTACACACAGGAAGCATATAATAATATAAAATATGTAACTAAGTTGGTACAATGGGTATCCAGACTGATTGGGCAAGCCCACTAATACTAATATCTAAATTTTCAATCCACTCAATCGCAGCTGGGGAGAGCTCAAAGAGCTCCATGACATCACCTTGGAAAGCATGACACTCATATTCCTGTGACGGAAAACAGTTTGGTGGACTGCACCACAATCACATTCAGGTCCTGGGATTTTGCCCCATTTAAACAACCGGTCTGCACAACTACCAAACCCTGTTCATATTCTATTAGCCAGCTTCCTTACTTTATGTGGCAAGTCAAATCCTGCAGGTTTCTTGCTGGTGTTTATCAGGTTATGGATATCAGGTAGAACTTATTACATCCATGTTCACAAGCATTCATTGCCTCATAACAAGATGTAGATGGACAAGTGAATGCTCATCTGCATTTAAAAAAAACAAAAAACCAACCATGACCTGGATAGCCCAGGCAAGCCAAATCTCTTCAGATCTGGGGAGCTAAGCAGGGCTGACTCTGGTGAGTATTTGGAAGGGAGACCTCCAGAGAATGCCAGGGCAGGGAGGCAGAGGCAGGCTATCAAGCCACTTCTCTGAACGTCCTCCATGCCCCAGTAGGAGTTGCCAGAAGTCTCCATGACTTCCAGACATGGGCGCACGCACACATACAGACACTGCAAAATACCAAAAAAAAAAAAAACCCAACCACCCTCTCCATACTCATACAACACTCATACAACACTGTTAATGGGAAGGCTAGCCTGAAACAATCTTCCTCATAGGCTCACTTGGTATGCGTAGAGGGTACCAGGGACATTCAAATGTTTGGTTCCTCCCGGCAATCTGAAATATAATTACTCAGCAAATCATGTGATGCTTTTTCTGATCTGCTTCAGCCCTGTGATATTCCTGCCCCGCCCCATGAGATCTCTCTTTAGATAAGTGTAAATTACCCTTTAGTGCACTCCTGCTAATGTGGCAGTGATTTCAGAAGACATGCTTTAGCTTTGACAAGCAGTTCTTGCAACAGATGGTGACTGCAGAACTTCGGCACCCTTGTCAGGTGCTGTGCTTGTGGTACCTCTTGCCTAGTGCAACAGTAACTTGGGTGACAAAAGTGAGAGCGGCCCTGGGTTGCCAACCTCCAGGTAGTGGCTGGAGATGTCCCATTTCAACTGATCTTCAGACAACAGAGAACAGTTCACCTGGAGAAAATGGCCACTTTGGATGGTGGACTCTATGGCATTATACCCCACTGAAGTCCTCTCCAAATCCCACCCTTCTCAGGCTCCACCTCCAAAATCTCCAGGTATTTTCCAGAGGCTGGAAACCCTAGCTCAGAGCCCTTCTCACTCAAATCCACCCTTCCCATATGTACCTGGGAAGTGTAATGATATCATCTGTCTGACTAGGGAGTTTTACATTCAAATCTTCACTCAGCCATGAAAGGTCATTGAGTGACCATGGGCCAGCCACTAGCTCTCAAGACTATTTCATACCTTGATTGTAGGGATTTTTTACAAAACCCCCACATGGGACTGCACTGAGATCGTCAGAGGAAGGGAAGGAGGTGTGTTTGATAAATAAGTAAACAAAGCCTTCAGCGTAAACCAGTTTCCTGTGCCCTAAAGAAAGGAGAAGTTCTGGGTTTCTATGAGAGTATCCAGTAGTGTTACATTTTCTCTTAACAGAAGCAAAAAGACCTACATTGAAAAGTGCTGGGAAGACATACGTGTGGGAGACTTTGTACAGCTGCAGTGTAATGAGATAATCCCCGCTGACATTCTGCTACTCCACTCCTCTGATCAGAATGGGATCTGTCATTTGGAAACAGCAAGTCTCGATGGGGAAACCAGTCTTAAACAACGACAAGTGGTGAAAGGATTCTCTAATCAGGTAGGCCTTAGAGCTGCCTTACACAGCCTGCCTTTCCTCTCTTCTTTCTTATGCAAAGACATATAAGACAAGAAGCACAGAACTGCCCAGCTAAAAGGGGCTCTTTAACAGGATAACTTCTACAGATGTTCCTGTCTGCAACATGTGCCTTGGTTGGCTTGCATGAGACCCAGATGCCATAATGTTAGCTCAAGTTACAAGATCAAAGGTGACTGAGGGTTTCCACACAAAGGAGTCTAAAGAGAAGCTCAGAACCAGCTCCAAGTTTTTGTTGCTGGTGGGAGATGGTTAACATCCAGTAGAAAATATTGACACACACTGAATTTGAACAGACATTAATCATATACTAAATGGTATATAACTACATGAGCAAACATGCCTGAATCCAGGCCGGTCCAAGATGTAAACTATTAAGCCAAATGCAACCTGGCAGCCATTTATTGGGCTTGCCAGGTCTTGAATGCACACTCTCCTGTCTCTGCATTCTCAAGACAACAGAGTAGATAGATTATTGGACTCCTGGTGAACTGCCATTTGGGTTGCCAGCCTCCAGGTGGGGCCTGGGAATCTCCCGCTTTTACAACTGATTTCCAGCTGACAGAGATCAGCTCCCCTGGAGAAAATGGCTGCTTTGAAGGATGGACTCTATGGCATTGTACCATGCTGAGTCCCCTCCCCAAACCCTGCCCTCTCCCGGATCTACCCCCAAAGTCTCCAGGTATTTTCCAACCCAGACCTGGCAACCCTAACTGACATCCATGGGTAATTGCTGTGTTTAGTTTGCTGCGTCACAAAGCAAGCAAGCCTGTCTTAATAGTATATGTGAGTGTAAATGTCGTAACTGATATAGAGGAAAGACACAGCACCCAAGTCGTATCAAATGAGAGGAAATGTAGAAATGGACGAACTCTGCCCCTTCCGCCACAGCTTGATAAAGAATTGGGCTCAGCAATCCAAACTAGGTTCTTTTTAATATAATTAAAGTAGCTTGGCCTTTTCCAAGCCCAATTCTGAAATTTGGAAATGGCATCATCAAGAGCACAAAAGGGATACAAATGCTTCCCAAGAGCCTCCAAATCTCCTGATTCTGTGGCTGAAGGATGGTTGGCAAGGAAGATTCCCTCTTCCTCCTTGGTGCCTCTGAATATGAAGGTTCCCTTTATTCACCATGGCTGGATAGCCATTGATCAACCTATCCTAAATGAATGTTAACCCCCCCCCTTTTAAAGCTATCCATGCTTGTTGTGGCTATTATTATACCCACTGCCAACAAACTCCACAAAATTTAATTACTTGTTGAATTAAGAGGTATGTATTTCCTTTTGATTGCCCTGAACCTTTTGCCCATCAGCTTCATTGGGTTACCCCCCCAAATGCTAATCTTATGGGAGAGGGAGAAAAAGTTCTCTCTGGCTCCGGTCACACGGGAGACTTTGGCCTGGGAGAGGGATGGATCGGGGGCGCAGCAAACGGGTGCAATCTCACCGCAACATCTGGGAAGCGGCGCGCATCCATCCCTAAACCCTGAAAACCCGCAGCAAAAAAGAACCTCCTACAGAGGAGGACTTACCTGTAGCACCGCTCCAAGCACGGCTGTGGGATCGCCGCCGCGCCCGTCGTCCAGATCAATCCAGGCTCCCCACCGAACTGTGCATGCGCACACATGCGCAGTTCGGCTGTCGCGTTCTTTTTTTAGTGGCTTTCCCCCAGCATCTGATTGTGCCGAGGAGGAAGTGCGCGGTGGCTCAGGGGATCTATGTGATCCCGCCGCCACGTCTCTCTTTTGGTGCAGCTTTAGGAAGCCGCAATTTGCTCGTGCTATCCTCCCCCCCATGTGGCAGGGGCCTCTGTCTACTTTCTCAACCCCTCGTGTAATAAACCTCTATTATCCCCCCCCCCCATGTCTTTTCTGAACACAAAAGTACTAGACTCAGTTCGGCCTTTCTTCATAGAAAAGCTGCTCCAATCCCTTAATAATCTTGCTTGGCTTCCTCTGTAAATTTTTTCCAGCTCTGCAATACCCTTTTTGGGATATGGTGACGAGAACTGTGCACAGCTCTCCAAATGAGGCCTCATCACAGTTCTACACAGAGGTGTTACAATACTAGTTTTTCATGTTCAATTCCTTTTCTAATAATCCCCAGCATAGGGATTTTTTTTTTACTGCTGCCACACACTGAGTTGACATTTTCATTGAGCTATCCACTGTAACCCTGAAATCTCTTCCCCTCTCAGTCTCTGCCAGTTCCATTCCAACCTTATCTTCATATATTTAAGGTGAGGATTTTTTGTTCCAGTGTGTATCACCTCTCACTTGCTTACACTGAACTTCGTTTGCCGAGTTGTTTCCCTCTCACCTAGTTCAGAGAGATCCTCCTGGAGCTCTTCACCATCCAGAATAATGTGTTCTCATCTGCAGGGTGAGGTCAGGAAGGCAGGTCAGGAGAAGAGCTTCTGGGAGCTGTCTGGACACAGTTTACTTGCAGAAAAGTTGGGAGAGAAGTGAAATACCATCCAGTGTTCCAGTGCATGCTATTTTCTTTGCTCTTCCCTTTTTAAGCCACACAATCAGGGGTCTTGTTGTAGAAAAAGGCAGGTCAGGAGAAGAGCTTCTGGGAGCTGTCTGGACACAGTTTACTTGCAGAAAAGTTGGGAGAGAAGTGAAATACCATCCAGTGTTCCAGTGCATGCTATTTTCTTTGCTCTTCACTTTTTAAGCCACACAATTATGGCTTCCACATGGATTTCTGGTTATATTTTGCAAAGCTTTGCACTGCACTGTCTAAACCATAGTTTTACAAATACCACAACACAAAGTAAGTACATTTTTGTTCCCAGAAGAGGTTCTTTTTAGGAGAAGGGGAAGAAGAAGAAGAAGAGGAGGAGGAGGAGGAGGAGGAGGAGGAGATTGGATTTATATCCTGCCCTTCTCTTGGAGTCTCAGAGCGGCTTACAATTTCCTTTCCCTTCCCCTCCCCACAACAGACACCCTGTGAGGTAGGTGGGGCTGAGAGTGCTCTTTCAAGGACTGCTCTTGAGAGAACAGCTCTGAGGGAACTTGTGACTGACCCAAGGTCACACCAGCAGTTGCATGGTGTGGGGAATCAAACCCAGTTCTCCCAGATGAGAGTCCACGCTCTTAACCACTTATTTATTTATTTATTTATTAAATTTATATCCCACCCTCCCTGCGAGCAGGCTCAGGGCGGGTTACATCAATCTTAATACAATACAATTAAAAATAACAGTTTAAAACAGAATATAATCATAAAATACCGTGTAGAACAAATTAGATCAGATGTCGATTTCAATGTCACTGAGATTAATTAAGCTACAACAGTGGGTACGCCAATGTCTGTGTGGATACAGGCCACTGTATCTCCCTGTTCCTACTGCAGCCCCCTCTCCAAGTTGCTCCTGGGGGTTGGGGTACTTTCCAGAGTTTAACGCAGTGGAATGATGTGGGATGTGACATAAAGGTCCTTTCCGCACTTGGATCTCATCCCTGGTTTTATCAGAGTTCAACTCAGGACACAACACCTTGCATTTATTCTTGGTTATAACAGCATCTGTTTATCCTGGGACAAGTGTGGAGTGAAACTGGGGTGACTTCAGGGTAATGTGGAAACAAAAAATACCGCGAGATAATTACAGGGGTGAACTCAAGTGTAGTGTAGAATGTAGAGATATCCCAAGCTAATTACAGGGGTGAACTCGCATGTAGTGTAGAATGTAAGTTTAGGGACAGGGTTGAACCAGGCTTTAAGGTCTAGTGCGGAAAGGACCAAGGAGTTGAAGTGGGAGAGAAGAATCTACAAAATCAAGGGGGAGGCCTTAGCACTGCCACAGGGACATAGTTGGATCCAAGCCATAGATCTGAAAGAACATCTGCATGATAATTGGGTGTAAAATTAGGAGACATTTAAATTTGAAAGGTTAACAACTAATGTTGCGCTGACTATGAATTTGGGTTTGATTGGCAGGTGATAGAAATTTAAAAGCTTGTGCTCCTTTTTAAAAACTAATTGTTGTTGCCTTTTCAAGAAATATTACATTCTTATTCCTTCTGAGCCATCTTCAGGGGATATTTCTTGAGTTTACAAGACAGTTTAACTTCAGAACACTTGCATTTGTCACACTCCTGAGAGATTCCTCAAATATATTACTGACAAATGTCAGATAAAGATAAAATAGGTTAATGCTGCAACATCAGGATGAGAAGAAACACTTTGTTCCCTTAAAATGTATTAAAGCTAACTGCATCTCATCAGACACAGACATCAACCCAGTCTTTCTACATGTATATAGTATAGACGTTATTGAGATAATGCTAAAATAAACACAGTGCTTGATCATCCCCACTGTCCTATTCTTTTGCCCTTCTGCAGAGGGGATCTATAAACAGATGCCTCTTTTGCACTCGCAAAGCCCCTTCATTGTTGGATCTTAGTAACAATATACAAGCACTTTATGCAAGTGAGAAAAGCTCACATATTGTGTTATAGTCTACTATCTAATTGCTACAATCAGGGATTATTCAGCTTTTCATCTCATCTCCCAGTGCTGCAGTTAACTGTACCTACAATTAATCAAGTGGCTTAGCAGCACAGTCCAAAGCAGATCTAACCCTCTTTTAAAGTCCATTGAAATCAGTGGGCTTAGAAGGATGGTGCTGGTATGTAACTCATCTGATTGTATCACTGTTTTAGAATGACTCCTGGCCCTATTCTAAAATGCCAGTATAATAGATTTGTATCCCAAAGCAAAGCAAAATCTTTCATGGGTTGCATCAATGATTAACTTCATATCATCACTGCAGCCTTGGTGCAGATCCATTTCCATTCTATAAATGAATGGTTTCACAACTTCACCTTCAGTTGATTGCCTAATCAGAAGCATATAGACAAGTTTATTTCACTTTATAATACAATCATTTCAGATGCTTGCATAACAAAAACCGATTATGGTTTTTCCCCCTCTGTTTTGTTTTGCAGAATGCTGAATTTGATCCAGAATTATTCCAAAACATAATTGTTTGTGAAAAACCCAACAATGATCTTAATAAATTTAAAGGCTATATGTAAGTAGTCTCATCCTTTATTTATCTTGCTCTACAATCAAGATATTTATCAAATTCTATTGTAAATTCAGTGCCATTTGTGTAACTTCTAGTTACACATATGCACTCACTATACATATGCCCTAAGTCAAGGAATGGCATTGCTGTAATAAATGTATTTGTTGTTCTTATACAGGTTGCCTAACGGTGATAATGTGTCTCTGTGAAAGAATGTCTCTCATAAACCTTATAAAAAAGCATAAGAATGTATCATCTGAATATGGGCTAAAATACATTTGTGAGGTGACTGAGAGGATTTCACATTTCTGTAAGGAAAATGAATAAGCACATCAACTCCACCATAAATTCTTGACTGCCAAATGGCAAGCCAAATATAGCTTCTGATATGATACCCAAAGTATCATACCCAAAGACTCAAAGATTTCTCAGCGTTACATTAGATGTACAGGTTGTTCCATTGTAGCATCAGAATCAGCTCAGAAAACTTTCCCAGACATCATTACACCAATCTTTATCTAACCAGCTCACACCACAACATTATTGCTAGTAGAAGCCGTGTAGATATAACTAGGGATGGGCACAAACTGGGAAAACCATGGACTGTAATGGGCAAAAACCCATTCAAACTGAACCAGTTTGGTAAGTTCATGATGCAGTAAACCTCCCCCCATGTGCTAGAAACACCAAACTTGCAGTGGACCTCTGGTTGACTCTCTTCTACCTGTTCTCCAAGTTTGGTGAGGATTGAGAAAGGATTTTTCAAAGAATTTTATTTTTATAACAAACAAACACAAATACGGAAAAGGTTTGAGGTACCATTTACATCATTATTTTAGTTATTTTGTTACCTCGTACATTGTCTACTTTGTAAATTCATATTTTCCACCTTATCTTTTTATAGAAATATTTTGCATTATAATTAAAAGTATAGTTCGTATTATCTTCTAATTCAGTTATACGTCCATATGCTTTATTTATTGTAATCTTCCAACCATTTGTAGAATCTTGAACATGTGTTTTTGAAGCTTCCTTCATCTTGTCCTTTCAAAATTAAAGTTAGTTTATCTATCTCTGCAGTCTCAAGCATTCTGTTTATAATTTCTTCTTTAGAGGGCACTTCATTTTTCCAATATTTATAATGTCATATTCTTGTGGTTGTCAATATATGTCTAATAAGATAAAAGTCTTGTTTTTTTACACTTTTCTGGCATTATATTCAATAAAAACAATTCAGGTATATAAAGTACAATACAACCTAACATTTTTTGTAACATTTCATGAATCCAAGACCAATACTTTTTAGCTTTAGCACATGACCACTACATATGAAAAAATGAACCAACATTTTTTGGCACTTCCAACAATCATTTGATAAATCAGGATAAATCATTGCTAATTTTTCTGGAGTCATGTACCATCTATAAAACGTTTTATAAATATTATCTTTGTATGAGGTTGCTTTGGTAATTTTTACATTTGTTTCCCATATTTTAAACCATTGATCTAAATCAATATTATGCCCAAATTTTGTGCCCATTTAATCATAGAATCTTTAACTATTTCATCCTGTGTCTTATTTTCCAACGTTATTATGTATAATTTCTTAATTAATTTCTCTTCAGTATATAACAATATCTTATGTATTTCTGCTGTTTTAGAATAGAAGCCTATTAATTTGACTTTGGCATACCTTGACTCTATTAGGGCTCTTTCCCACCAACTTAAATCTGGTTTTTGTTTTATAAAGTCTTCTGTTGACTTTAATTCATTTTATTGTCCAGTAAATCTTCGTATTTTAGCCTTACATTCTTTTGCATCGATTTTGGGTTTGTAAATGCTTCAAGTGGTGCGACCCATTTTGGCATCATAGTATAGAAAGATCTTTTCACTTCTTCCATACCTTCAGTAAAGATTTCCTAATAAGATGCTGTTTGAAATATTTATGGGTGTCAGCTTTTCCATACCATGTAAACGCATGCCAACCTAGGAACAAGTCATGTCCCTCTAACAGTAGTATGCTATGATTTTCTAATGTAATCCATTCTTTTACCCACGTCAATGAAGCTGCTCTATAGTGTACAAGCCAAATCCAGCTCTTTCTTTTGCATCTTGTAAGGCTTTCAGTTTTAGTCTTGGTTTCTTATTTTGCCATATAAATTGTTTCTTCAGTTTATCAAGCTCTATAAAATATTTTGGTTTTTTATTGCAGTCTCTTCTAGTTCATCATATCTTGTATTTAGTGTATCAATTTGTTGTTCCATATTTTGTGATTTATTTTCTAGCTTTCCCAAAGAAGCCGTTAACCCTACCACTTCTTGTTTATTTTCCAAAATCTGTTTTTTAATCTCGTTTGTGCAACCAATTGTTGAGTGAGGTTGTCTAATTTCATTTGAAGTGGTTCTAGTGCCTTCCCAACTGCTGAGGGTAAAGCCATTTCTACTGCTTGATTCACAGCTGAAGGTAAAGCTGTTTCAATTGCCTGATTAACTGCTGATGCTACAGCCTCTTGAATTAAGCTTTGCAGTTCTTTTAAATTAACCTGGACCACATTAGGTTGCCCAGGTGTTGTTAAGGAAAGTTTTCTCTGTCCGCTATCCATTTTAGCTAATTGACTATCCTAACCTATCCTCTATCCTAATCTATTCTTATCATAACATTTCCCTATTCTCTATTTTCTCTATTTTCTTCTTGTATCACCTATCTGCACACTACATTACTAATTTACTTACTCTTATATAAAGCTATACTAACTTGCTTACTTAGTAACTGTTACTATTCTAATTCTCTAGTTTCTAGTCCCTAAATAAATAAATATTTATTTATGGAGAAATCCTTATCACCCTAATGGTAGAAAGAATTATATATGAAATAGAGAAGAGGAGAACAGAAAAGGGAGGAGGAAAAAATGATGAACAGAAAGGACCAACCAAGAAATAAAAGAAAAGTAAAGAAAAAGACCAAAGGGAAGATGGGCGGAAAGTATACAGCTGCCTCTTCTTATCTTCTTGCTGCTTGAGTCCAGGATTATACAGCTCTTATGAAGGAATATGCTAGCATATTCTTCCGTTCTTGCTGCTTATCTAGACCCACCAACACCTTGAAAAGGATCTTCTCCTCCAACTTTATTTCTTTTTCTCTAGCCCCACATAGGGGCAAGCTGTCCCTTTAAAGTTTTTAATGAGGAGCCAACATTTGTATTGAGTCTCACAGACTCCATTCTCCACCTCTCCCGTCTTTCGAAATGTCAAGGCATGAAAGTCCAAATACTTCTTGGCCCTTTTAATACTGAAAAATCAGCCTCCCTCTATCATCAAGGGAGCTATACTTTATTCACCAAAAATGTTGCTCTTTTGCTCCAAAAAGAAAGGAAGGAAGTAACTTCAGGACAATTTTCCCAGCCACTGAGTCGGGACGGAAGTTCACCGCCCCTCCTTTGCTCTTCATCCGCACTTTCACCACCAATTAAAGGCTAAATAGAGAAAGCAGCATATACATTAAGGTTTCAAAAATACCAGAAAAAGACGATGAAGACCTTAAACAAGAGATGGCACAATTACTTGCAGAGTTCATTGAATTAGAAAATGTAAAAGAAGTATTTGAAGATACTGAGATGGCTAGGATGAACTCTGCTTTTGCTAAAAGAAATAGGTTACCTAGAGAGATTCATGTTAAATTCTATAAGAAACATCTACGTGAAAAGATTTTGAAAACAGCAAATGGAAAATCATTACAACTGCAGAAAACAAAAATTAGAATATTGAAGGGTGTCCCTTGGAGGGTAAGGGGAAAAAGATAAAAATATATAAACTTGGTGGAATGTTGAAGGAAAAATTAAATTTCTTATAGGTGGCTTTACCCAGAAGGGTTCTGTTTACAATAAAGGAAGAAAACAGAAAATTAATTCAACTTTTAAGTTAGAGTATTTCCTTAAAACACATGGAGAAGAACTAAAATATCAGCAAGATGATGAAGAGGAAGAAGAATATAATAAAGAACAAGGTGCTTCCAACACAGTAAAAAAAGAATAAAAAAGGAAGGTTCAAAGGGAAAATTCCTCCAATACAAATATATATGAGATTCCAACAGAGAACCAGGACTGAAAACCAGAAAGAAGGAAAAGATGGAGAGTAGTAAAATTAATCTCAATAAATGTAAACGGCCTTAATGCACCTAAAAAACGAAGACAGATCTTCCATCAAATAAAACAGATGAAGTTGGATGTAGTCTGTCTGCAAGAGATGCATATTAAAGACTCAGAGCAAAATTTGTTGGAATATAAGAAGTTTGGTAAAACTTTCACTTCTGCAGATAAACAGAAAAAGATAAAAGGCTTGGCAACTTATGTTAAAGAATCCCTACACCCAGAACTTATTCAGAAGATGGTAGAATTCTTTTTTTTATATAAGAGGTGCAGGGGCTCATTAGCATAACTCATTAGCAAAACTTATTTGCATATGCCACACACCCTGACATCACCAGAAGTGTGTCAGAAGGCAACAGCCATCACTCAGGCTCCACTGGACTGTTTTGGATTTCTAGCTATTGGGGAGGGGGGACGTGCAGATCTGTCCTCGCAGAGGAGGGAGAGCTTAAACTTGGTCTTAAAAGTGCCACTGGACTGTTTTGGGCCGGGGGGCTGGGGGGAGCTCTGCAACTTATCTGGCTGCTTCTTGCTCTGACTGAGGGCTGCTGGGAGCAGGGGGCGGGGCTTGTTGCATGTGCCCGCCCCCTGGGCTCTTTACTGCCGAAGCTCCGCTCCTGTTCTAGCTATTGGGGAGGGGGGACGTGCAGATCTGTCCTCACAGAGGAGGGAGAGCTTGTACCTGAATAAAACTTGGTCTTAAAGGTGCCACTGGACTGTTTTGGACCGGGGGGGCAGAGGGAGCTCTGCAACATACCTAGCTGCTTCTTGCTCTGACTGAGGAGCTGCTGGGAGCAGGGGATGGGGCTTGTTGCATTTGCCCACCCCCTGGGCTCTTTACTACCAGAGCTCCGCTCCTGTGCGCTCCTGCAGGAAATGACCCCTGATTCTACTAGTTCAAATACAGAGACAATCTAAAACCATGTTGATTGCCAATATATATGCTCCAAATCAGGAGCAAGAAATTTTTTTTGATGCGCTGAGGACCATAATAGCACAACAAACTTTTGAAGAACTGTCCGTAATTGGGGATTACAATGCCGTCTTTGATAGGATGATGGACAGGGAAAAACAAGTAGGGCAACAAAAACAGGGAAATGAATTACCCATTGCCTTTTTTAAAATGATGGATGAAATTAAATTGATAGACGCCTGGAGAACTAGAAATCAAAATAAATTGGATTTTACTTACTACTCAGCTCGACATAAATCATAGTCGAGGCTCAATATGGCATGGATTACAGCCTCACTAATAAACGATTTACGAGAAGTGGAGATTCTGCCAGCAACATTCGCAGACCACAACCCACTACTACTTACCTTTCAAGATACACCAAAAAAGATTTAGATGGTCAATGAATACTTGGTTGCTAAGAAATGAGAAATTTATTACAGAAACCAAAAAAGATTTTAAAGAATTTTTCTGACATAATATACAGCCAGATACCTCCATGCATGTAGTGTGGGAAACCTTCAAGGCATTCACAAGGGGATTATTTATGCCCCAAAATAGTTCGGTAAAGAAACAAAATAACCAAAAGTTTATACAGCTGCAAAATCAAATTAAAGAGCAGGAGGATAAGATAAAAGGGCAACTCTCATCGGACCAACTGAGGTTAAAAATAAACCTACAACACAAATGAATTGCCTCCTTATGCAGGAAATTGCAAAAAAAGATTACCTACACAAAGCAGAATTACTTCGAGAACGCAAATAAACCATTGAGATAGCCAGCCTACAGATTTAGACAAGAGAAGGAGAAAAGAACTATAAAAATTCTGAGGGATGATAAGGGGGAAGAAAAAAATGGAGTGAAAGAGTTGAAAGATATTGTAGAAAAATTTTATGAAACGCTATATAAAAACAAGATGTTAATCAAAAAAATTGAAAGCTTTTTTAAAAATAACAATAACATCAAAAAGTTTACGGAAACTCAAAGTAAAATACTTAATGATCCAATTACGATGTGTGAAATCTCAGAGGCAATTAAAAAACAAAAGAAAAACCAAACCCCGGGACTGGATGGAATACCAGCAGAGTTCTATCAGTTTTTTGAAGAACAGCTAATACTTCCATTTAAACACACTTTGCAAAGTATTACCTATAGGAAATCTATTCCTGACTCTTGGAACGAGGCGCTAATTACACTCATACATAAACCGCATACAGATGAAAAGGAGATTAAAAAATACCATCCTATTTCTCTATTAAACACGGATTACAAAATATTTGCATCTATCCTTGCCTCCCGACTTAAACATGTGCTTGGGCAGATTATCCATCAAGATCACGTGGGCTTCCTACCCAGAAGACAAATAAAACATAACTTAAGAGTCATTTTGAACATACTTGAATACTTCAAAGTCCACTAAGAAAAACAATTGGTGATAATATTCCTAGATGCTGAAAAAGCATTTGATAACATCAATTGGGAGTTTATGTTAGAACATCTATCAGCCTCACACTGTGGTGAAAACTTCATTACAATGGTTAAAGCTATATACAACAAACAACAAGCTAGGATTGTGGTGAATGAGGAACTATCGCAAAAGATTGACATTGCCAAGGGTACTTGACAAGGTTGTCCTCTGTCGCCTTTACTTTTTATTTTTACGTTGGAGATTTTGTGTGAAACAGTAAGAAATGAAACTCAAGTTATGGGATTGAAAGTAAAAGGTGAAGAATTCAAAATACAAGCTTTCGCTGATGATCTAGCCCTAATAATACAAGAACCACTACAATCTATGCCATGCTTGCTTATGTTATTACAAGAATTTGGACAGCTAGCAGGATTTAGAATTAATCCGAAGAACGGAGTCCCGTTGCCAGAGCAATGCGTAGGGTCACATCCTGGCAACGGCGGTGCAACGCGTATCGCTGTCCCCCGCAGCAGGGATCCTGTGAAGATGTGCGGATCCCCCGCCACAGCTTGGCAGCCCTACCTGAGAAGGAAGTAGACATGGTGGCTCAAAAGCCTTAAGAAGTAGTTAGACATGGTGGCTTGAAGCCCTGAGAAGGGAATAGATATGGTGGCTTGAAAGCCCTGAAATGTAGTTAGATATGGTGGCTTGAAGCGCTGAGAAGGACGTAGATGTGGTGGCTGGAAGCTCTGAAAAGGAAATTGACAAGGTGGGTCAAAATTCTGACAAGGAAGTTGATGTGGTGGGTCAAAGCCCTGAGATGGGAGTAGATGTGGTGGCTCAAAAGCACTGGGATGTATGCAGACATGGTGGCTCCAAGCCCTGAGAAGGGTTGGCCATGCACAGCAATCATCTCCTTGATGAGGCAAGTAAGTAACTGCTCACTGCTCACTTGAGCATGCTGGTCATTGAAAAAAATATGTTTAGATCTCTGGGAAAAGCCAACATATGTGAGTGCTATAGGACACAATGAGAAAATGCTGGAAACTGCTTTGAATGAGTAGCAACTATGTGCCTCTTCCCATGTGCTAAACCAAACTATCTGTTAAATTTTTATCTCATTCTTCTGCAAAGAAGCTCGGGGTGACATTTATATTTTGCCTTTCCTTCATTTTATAGTCACAAAAACACTCTGAGGTAGATTAAAAGAGAGTAAGCAGCCCAAGGTCACCCAGTGAGCTTCGAGGTTGAGTAGAAAATTGAACTTGTGTCTTTGGAGCCCTAGTTCAGCATTCTGCCACACTGATCCTCAGGCTGGAATAGGTTCATTCTAATATGGCTATTAGATTCAAACACATTAGATTCAAACACGTAGTGAGATGCTCATACAACCTGGAATCTTTGCAAACCCAGTTTGATAGCTGGGTTATAGAACAACAGCAGTACTTGAAAGGTATTGACAAACAAAAGGCAAGTGATTGGAGGAAAAAACAGCTTCTGAGCATTAAGCATGAACAACACCATGGTCTTGTCAAGGCCACAGTGACATAGAGATTTATTTCTTGTAAAGGTGGGATGTGCTCTGGTTTCTCACTGGCACAAAACTGCTGCGTGCTTAGAAACCAAAGCACATTCCACCCTTGACAAAGTAGGAGTATGACTATGTCCTTGGAAGCATGCTGTATATTTTTAAGAGAACACAAAATCTTGTAGAGAGCAGTTTGTTCTCACATAAATTGGTCTTATAATGGGTATGTATATGTCACTAGAACAAGAAATGAAAGGAAAATCCCATTCTTTCTTATAGGGAGAAGACTGATCTCACACGCATCGGTTTTAACAGAGACAGCCTTCTTCTTCGTGGCTGCACAGTGAAGAACACAGAAGTTGCAGTAGGAATTGTTATCTATGCAGGTAATAATAGTTTTTCTTTCTCGTGTGGTTCCTGATGAAGAATTTTTGAAGTCCATGCAAGCTAAAGCTGCAGCATACTAGTGAACGTTATGGTTAGGAAATTGTCACCAAAGTGCAAGCCCAAATCTGGCATACCCATCAATATGTGAGGTAAACTGGGTATCCCAGCAGCTCTCGGTCAAGGCCTGCATCCTCACACCACTGGGTGTTACACAATCATTCAGCTACAGCAATCATTCACAACTGGGCTCACTGTACTCCTGGAGCACAATAGCACAATATCCAGCAGTGTGTGGATGCAAGCAAGAACAATCAGAAACAGGCCAAAGGAAGGAGAAAATGGTCTGTTCCAGATAGTTGTCCTATATGGGTGGCAGATGGTACCACAAGGAAAAGCTACTTATATAGAGTACATGCTGTACAGAAGGAGCTTCAGACCTGGATGGTTTATTGCATGCTCCTAATCATCCCATTGAATTTGTGAGCCCATGGTTATCACCCTAAACCTCTTTGTTTGGAAATAAGCATGATTGAAATTAATGGGACGTGCTGAATAAGCTCTTAGAACTGAGAAGTCAGCATGTTACCAAACTGCAATTTATACTTCTTCAAGAAAGCATGTTGCAGTCATGATCAAGACTATCACTAAAGAAAAGAGAGCCTTTGCCATCCTCTGCTATGTCTGTTTAAATGACAACTCTTGGCTTCAGGGTTGTACTTGTAGGAATACTGCGGAGGAGCTAGAGGAATGCATTAAGAATATTCTTTCTTAATAAATCTCTGTACAAAACTGTCTGCTTGCATCTTATATCTTTGGTGCTGCGACTGTCATTTGATGCAAGTTCATCGCACCACAGTGGCCAAGCTCGTAGCAAAAGGGAAAAGCAAAGAGCTCAAAGAGCACAGTGAGGGGTACAAAATAAAGTCTGGTTCCCCTTTCATGTCTCATGGTTAGAACTTCAAACGCTCATCTGTTGAAACTGTAGCAATTTGATTCCAATTTTGTACACATTTTCTTTTTGTCCTGCTGTTCTGTTGGTACTTCAGATTCACTTTGGGGGAAGCTAAATAACATTAAAATTACTCACGGCTGGATCTGACATGTTGGCTTGCTTTATGTTTACACAGAAAATGCACTCGTAGCTTCTCATTAAGTCAATCTGGCTGCTGTGAAATAGTAAAGTGTACTTAAGAATCAGTCGGCCATCTAATTAGATTCCAACACTTTTAAGTACTTTGGTCTTTTCAAGTCGGTGTTCATTGCACAAAAAGGTGTGTGTTTCCACCATTTTCAGATGTTAAAACAAAATCATTGATTTTGCTGACTTCACAGGAGTGGGATGCCTCATGTAAGAGTGTTTCAAAATGATGGGGCTGTCTCAGAAATCTCCGGCAATAAAGAAAGAAAAGCCATAGCAGGCTTTATAATACCACCACTCCCTCATACCTCTTGTGATCTGGTCAGTGTAATACACTCATGGAGGAGGTATGTGAACTCTCAGAGCAGTCTAGTGGCAGGAAGCAAATTTAACTTTCTTGTAAGTTACCTCTGAACTTGATAAAGTTATTTTCCTCTTACAGTTCAAGTATGTTCCCCCCTGTATTAACAACACATCTGAGAGATGTATCAGGTGTGCCTCACTCCCATACTTTCAACCAGGTTATCTCCTGCTTTAATGATGCATGTATTTATTCATTTTTTTAAAAGAAATAAAAAGCAGAATCATTTTTATTCTTCAAAATTGCTTAAGGAGGAAACAGGGAGGGAGGTTATTAACACCAGTCAGCCCTGCACAGCTGGGTTCTGTTGTAAACTCACAGAACCAATTTCCCTTGAGGCTGATGCAGTATTAAAGAAAGTAAGGTCCCGTTCACACTAGCCGATTTGGGCCGGGAGCGGGACAGTTTGGAGCCGGATCAAACCGGCGCGATCACACCACAACATCTGGGAAGTGTATTGCTTCCGTGGCCGAACTGCCCCTTCCCCGCCCAAAGCCGCCTCAAACCAAACCACCTACCTGGGTGGTTCAAACGGAAGGGGCGCTTCTTCCCGGGCGTTTGATCGCCGGCGCGACTTTGCGCCGGCACAACCCCGGCCCGGAGCCGAACTGCGCATGCTCGGACATGCGCAGTTCGGCCGGCCCCCAGTTAGGGCCGTGTTTTCTCCCCGGCGTTTGATCGCGCCGGGGAGAAACGGTGGCGCAGCCGGGGGATCCGTGGGATCCCGCCGCGCCGTGTCAACGTTGGCGCGGCTTTTAAAAGCCGCGCCTTCAAGCGCCTTTTCCCCTGCCGTGTGGCAGGGGCCTATAGCTAAACAACATGTTGAGCATTTGCCTGCTAAGCTAAGAGGTCTATCATTCCATGGATCCAGCTCCCTGGATGACATGAAACCTCACACTGAATCAGGCCATTGGTCTGTCAAGCTTAGAATTGTCTGCTCTGACTGGCCATGACTCTCAAGGTCTCAGGTTCAGATTTTTCACATCACCTACTACATTATGCTTTTAACTGGAGATGGCAGGGACTGAATCTTACTTACAAACTACTGCACGCAAAGCAGTTGCTCTCCTACTGGGCCACAGCTCCCGGCCCCGAAAAAATATTTTTTAAAGATTGGGATTCTTTGGGCCAACTTCCAGCGCTCTAATAAGGACACCAAGGCAAGGTAACATATTAGAAGAACTCTTGGTGGCATGCCATCCAGTACTAGTGACGCTTTGAATTATTGGTCAATTAGTTTCTTGTTGACAGTTCTTAAGATCCGTAGCCTCCCTGACAAAATGATTCAAGTAGGTGTATCTCTCCAATATTCCCTGCAGTGAGAACAGATTCAACTACTTCATTTGCCTTCTCTACAATGTCCATGTTTTCATTTAGATCTCCTTTTCCAACTTGTCATCTAAAGGTTTATTCCTGTCTGCTTGGTTTCTTTCTTCTAATGTATTTAAATATTTTTGTTTTTATTCGTTTACATAACTTCAGCTATTTTTCTTCATGAACTGCTTCTTGGTTTGTTCAATTGTAAATTTTCATAGGAATTTCCAGAGTTAGTGCTACTTTTTGTGTTCTTCATTTAGGTAAGTCTTCCCCTTATTAAATGCTGTTTTGCCTTGTACAGACTCTTTCAGTACAAACTTTTCCCAATCTAGTTTACTACCAAAGTCTTGACATGCAGTCCACATTAAAAATCAAGTTTTTGTATACATCTGTTCTTTTAACAAACTTTCCCAAAACTGCTAAGAAATCATGAATCGGACCTCATGGATACTGGGAACCAACCTGTAGGTAGCCATGAATGTATCTGAACATATCTAGCTCCCATCAGTTCCCATGAAACTAAATTCACTTGTCACTTCCATTTTTTGTCTTGAAGGCCATGAAACCAAAGCCATGTTAAATAACAGCGGTCCTCGTTATAAACGCAGCAAAATAGAGAGGCGAATGAATGTTGACATATTCTTTTGTGTGGGACTGCTGTTCATCATGTGTCTTGTTGGAGCAGTAGGTATGGAATAATGAAAACCTTGATTTCAGTTGTGAAAATCATTTATTATCATGATGCACTTAATTGATATCTATTCCAATTATTAGCCACATTTGAAGAGCTCAGACTTTTTAATATGGGAGGGTCTTCAAAAGCAATAGCTGTTGCCATAGGGTACATTTTTAATGGGCTTTTTATCCAAGATCCACACTACTGCTTAGATTCACAGAAGGGGACCATGAAATTTTTGCCTTCTTTTCTTTGAACAGCTGACCAGGTACCATATAGCAAAGTGTTTTGATGTTCCTCTTATTTTCAGTGTGGCAATGTGCTATGCAGCATGAAGTGGGAGAAGAGACCTGAGTTTTATTGGAGGAGAAAAACAAGATTATTAGTGCAATCCTAAGAAAAGTTACACCCTTTTAAGTTTAGGATTGCACTGCAAAGCCTCCTTACAGTCCTGAAATTAGTTTCATTATCTATATATACATATACATACATATACTAGAGACCCCAAACCTGTATCCCTTGAAATTAAGGAGACTTTCAAAAGCAAATTGTGATGTGGCATAACAGTCTACATCTGAAAAATAGAAACACTTGGTATGCAAAAGACCTTGGCTGTGCTTATTATTATAGGACTAGGATCTTTGGATCCTAGTCACATACATTTCATCTGCATATCTCCTACAGAATAGCCTGCAGACCTTTTAATATAGGAGTGACTTCAGAAGATAACTCTGTTGTTAGAGCCTAAAACAGTCATTTCAAATATTGTACTTCTAGGGAACCTTTTCCACATAGCATTGTCTGCTGTCGTACTCAAGAATGTCTGCCACAAAAATCACTGTGCTTTACAGAGGATTCTGGGCATGCTCAAAGGCACACATTCAGCTCACATGGGGCACTGGGAAGGGTCCACTAAGGCACACATTCAGCTCACATGGGGCACTAGGAAGGGTCCACTCTATAACACACCCAAAGTGCAGCCCAATGTGTGGTTGCACACAGCAGAGGACTAGCTGTAGAGAGAGGCAAGATGTCTCCCAGAATCCCAGGGAATCTAAACTTCCATTATATTTCCTTTCATTGAGAAACCCACTATATAAAAACTAGATTTGACTCTACTGGCACCTTAAAACTCAGCAAGGTTTTGAGGGGTATAAGCTTATACCCAATAAATCTTGTTGATCTCTAAAGTGTTATTAGACCTGAATCTAGCTCTTCTGCTGCAGACCAACATAAATATCCTTCTGAAACCATTATCTGAGGAACCTCAGGATTCCCTGGATCATATTTTGGAAACAATTCAACATGGACAGAAATTTGGATCTGGAAACAAACTTCAACAGTGAAAATAATCATTCACTTTTGAGACACTCCCCAGATTGCTGCTGCCAGAACCAATCACATTCAAAAAACAGCAAGGAAAAGGCTTGCTTTCTAGTGTCTGCAGTGATCCTGTCCTAATGTGACTATGATTTGCAAGGATGTGAGACTCTAATTTTAAAAAGGTCTAGTGAGCTTTCACAAATAAATATTTGGCAAAGAATGTAACAGTACCTATAACTGTACCTTGATTTCTGTACTAAATAAGTGAACTGCAGAACACAAGACTGAAAGGATTTACATCAAGTTTATTTATTTTTAGTAGTTAGTCTTGATGAAATGTGGCATGACATGGCAGCAAGCCAGTAAATTAACCAGACTAATGAGGACCAAAGACTCAAAAGTGAAGAATCCTCTTCAGCTGAGTAGCCACGCTGGTTTCATTATTTTTGAATGTTGGTACTTCAAAAACGAGTTATTTGGTCTGAAATGGAATTTCAACTATATCAGTTTTGTTCACGGAAGGGGGTTGCATTTTCAAGAAATGTTTTTAAAAGGCTCAGACCTGAGATGGACATGCAAGCTGGTTACTTCATAAACAGATCTGCATGTGTCTTTTCAAGCACTCTGAGGAATCTGGGGGCCTGAAAAATTATCTCTTCAAGTGTGCCTTTAGGCTGAAAGGGAGGTATTGTTTTTAACACTTGAGACAGATGGTGTAATGGAGTGATGAGAGTATTGGAGATTAGGAAAAGCAACACTGGAAACCTCATCCCCAAACTCAGTGCGTGATTTGGGACCATTGCTGCTTTAAGAAGGAAGGACAAGAAAAAAATATGAAAGATAAATATTGTCTCTTATTGTAGGTGCTAGTATGGTGATATTGTTTTACTTTTTCAAATACTGTCCATTTTAATTGCTGTATTTTATTTAAGCTGTGATCTGCTTTGTGGACTTCAGTCAAAAAGCACACTATTAAACAGATTAGATTATTTTCATACAAAATCTAGCTAATAATTTTTATCTATTGGTTTATTTCAAAACCTTACTGGAGCTTTTGAATCTAAGAGCAGTATCACTTCGTTGCAGACAGAAAAAGCTTGCTAGGCTATTGCCAGTTGTTTCCTGCACCCCACCCCCCATGTGCTCTTAATCTGAAGTAGCTTGTTCGATGGGTTCTTTTTGCAGGCCACGGCATTTGGAATGGGCATTTCTTAGAGCCCCCCTTGTATATCGTCCCAGGCATAAATGGCAACTATCTTGCTCCAGCTCTGGCAGGTTTCTACATGTTCCTGACAATGATCATCCTTTTGCAGGTGGGAAGATATGTACTGTTGATGAGGGAAAGGGTTTAAGGCCATAGTCCTATACAAACTGGGTTGTGAGCCAGTCCCATTGAAATGTCTGGGGAATTTCTTTTTGAGTGAACATGGCCAGGCTCAAGCTGTAAAACTGAACAGAGGGGTCATATGGTGGCTAAGGGTGTGAGCGGCAAGCCAGGAAACTAAACTTCACCTTTGCCATGAGCTCTCAAGACAGCTTTAGGTAAACCACTCTCTCTCAGCCTCAGTCATTCCCCCCCTTCCTTTAGCAATATGGGGAGAGAAATACTGACCTACCTTACTGAGTTGCTAGAAGGCTAACAGTTCAATCTTATGCATCCTAAACCCGTAGAAGTCAATAAACTTAGACTGGAGTAACTCTGCACATGGTGACACTGTGAGGTAATTATGTGAAGAGCACTGAATATTCCAAAATGGTAGGAGTCAGGGGGTTCCATTTACAGTCTTGTTAAGATTGCAGTTAGTGAATACTCTTATCCCCCTTTGATTAAATCTAAACCACATATAAAGATAAAAAGGTAAAGGTTTCCCTTGCTCAAAAGCCAGCTGAATCTGACTCTAGGGGGCGGTGCTCATCTCCATTTCTAAGCCAAAGAGCCAGCACTGTCCGAGGTTGCTTCTGTGGTCATGTGGCCGGCATGACTAAACACCAAGGCTCATGGAACGCTGTTACCTTCCCACAGAAGCGGTACCTATTTATCTACTTGCAATGTCTTGCTTTTATTTATTTATTTATTTTTGGGATTTATATCCCGCCCTACCCAAGTTGCTCAGGGCGGCTAACAGGTGGCCATGCCAGATTAAAATATAAATACAATAAAACATCATTACATACAGAATAAAATGGTGCTCTACAATTCTCTAAGACTGCCCAAGATGTGCTAGGTTGAACTGTTAGGTTGGCAGGAGTTTGGGCCAGAGACGGGAGCTCAGTCTGTCATGCGGCACTAGGGTCCCGAACTGCCGAACTACAGACCTGCTAGTCTGCAGCTCAGCGTCTTAACCTCTGAGCCACTGCGGTCCCATAAACTAAATATACTCGGCATTATTTATTTTTCTCCCCATATTTCTTGTATTTTATTACTTTTTTACCATGTTGGGTGTTTTAAGTTAACCAGTAAATGTCCTGACTGCAGTCTGAGGCCAGTATCCAAAGGAGTTATGTGCATACCCCAGAGCTTCCCAATAGAGCTCTTCTCATCCCTTGTAAACATGCTCTTGATGGCTGGAGGGAACCTCCAAAGTGATACCAGGGTCTGCAACTAGAGGGCAAATTTGCCAATCCATGCGTGCACATGTGGAAGCCCCTTAGGCCCACTTGTAGAGCTCTATTTAATAATACCAATATAGATTCTCCTCACAGGAACATGTCTTGTTCTCCAGTCCGGAAGTTCTACTTGGTGTGTCTTGGGATGATTGGATGCATTAGACTCCTGAACCTTGGGCAGTTGTGTAAAACGGGTATAGCATTTCTTACCTGTGCATAATGAGCTGCAGCTGCCCAAATGCCTTCTATACAGCCATTAAAAGCACAGGAACTTTTGGATGTTAATATCATAATGGTTAGTATCATAATGGTTCCTCAACCAAGATCAACAAAAATGCAATTGTGTTCATCCAAAATAACTGAAGGGGGGAAGGAAGTGTAGGGGGGAAATAGAAATCTTTGTTTTTTACAACAGTTACAAGTTATGCAAGTCTATCCACACAGACGCAAGGAAGAGCCTCTGGGAGACTCTAGTCATATATAGCCTAATATACCCACATATTGTTACTATGTGAGTACTTGCAAGGATATTAGTTGCTGCACTTTGGCACGGGATGTTTTTCTGGCTGCAGCTGACATCAGCACAATTGTGTCCTCATCCCATAATAAGAATTTTCTAGTAATATCTTACTCCCAGTACATGGGAGGAAATTTCTCTGGTTCTCAGCAACAATTCACATCAATTCCCAAAACAACTTTTCTCTTTGGTTCTTCTTATCTGCAGTCCATAGACCCAAAGGTGACAGCAGCAGCATAATAAGCACTGCAAATGACAAGAGGTGTGCCAATGTTTTTGCTCTTAACTTTTATCAGCCGGGTTTTTAATAGGAGGAAATGGCTTCTTTCCTGCTTTGTCCAGGAAGTCTCATTACAGCAGTCAATACAAAACCTAGCTACTGCAGAAAAGTTGAAAGAGAGCCCAGCTGATATCTTTTTAACTTCCTTGGAAATGTCCTTTTTCAGATTTTAATCCCCCTCTCCCTCTACGTGTCCATCGAACTAGTCAAGTTGGGTCAAGTTTTCTTCATTCACAATGATATTGACCTGTATTACGAGGAGCAAGATCTGCCTATACAGTGCCGAGCACTAAATATCACTGAAGACCTGGGACAAATCCAGTATATATTCTCAGACAAAACGGGGACTCTAACTGAGAACAAGATGGTGTTTCGACGATGTACGATTGATGGGAAGGAATTTTCACATCAGGAAAATGGTAATTCATATTGGACTGAATGTGTTATTGAACATATGATCCAGAAGGTGCCACTGAAGCAAGAACATTTGTTCTTTCGCTTTTCAAAAAGCCTTCATTATCAGTTAGATTTATAGAAAAATCTGTGCCCTGCACCAGTTGCAACCAATACGAGGCAACCAGGTTGCTATCACTGAGCAGCAAGCAAAGAGAGATGACTTGTGTGTATCACAGGAGTAGCAAGGGAGAAGTAAAGGAGGTGGGCCACCCAATGTTGACATCCAGGACAAAGTTCCATTGTCAGTAGCTACCACTACAATACAAGGATCTTCCCTGTGTGACTAATTATAAGCTATGGCAGCCATTTTGTGGTAGCCATTTTGTGGCTGTGCCCACCACCCTATGTCACAATTCCATGCTTGCAATCACAAAATGGTCAGGGACCCCTGGTACAGATCATAGTTCCACTTCTAGTTAGAGTAGTGTTCACTGGAGAAGATCTATGGGGAGATCTAGATTGTCCTCCAGCTGCTATATTCCTAGTGGTGATGGTTCAAGAGGCTTTGGTTCTTGTGTCCAGTCCAACCAGATGCAGGGGAGGGGGGCTTCCTGGAACTGTAGCTACAAACTTTATTTATTTATTATTTTGATTTATATTCCGCCCTTCCCGCAAGCAGGTTCAGGGCGGTTCACAACAACAAACACAATACAATCTTAAAGCAGGTCAAGAAATAATAAATAACAATGTTAAAACGATACAATAAAACCAATTTAAAACATTTAAAGTGGACAGTGCAGTATATTAGTTTCAATTCCTACAGCCAGAATGGGGGGTCCGGCGCCAAGCCATAATGATCTCATGCAGCAGCAATAGGGAGGCCAGCTGGCAGATGCCCACTGCCTGTGAAACAATAACAAGTCTCCCAGGGCCCTGATCTCAATTGGAAGTGTGTTCCACCAGGCTGCGGCCAGGGCTGAAAAAGCCGTGGCCCTGGCTGATGCTAGGCGGACATCTTTCGGGCCAGGGACAACCAGCAGATGGCTGTCCACAGAGCACAAGGATCTTTGGGGCACATTTGGGGAGAGGCGATCCTCAGGACTATGCTTTTGAAGTTATCATGCATCACAAGCTTTCCTACCTTCACAGACCTCTGCAGACCACATCTCTTTGTGTTCACTCTCACAATCTGTCTGCTGTGATCAGTGATGTTACCCTCTTTTGTTAGATGTCTACATGAAATTGCTAAGAGAGATTGTTCTGTCTTGACTGAAGAGGGCACAAATGTTTGTTTATCTCTCTAAAGCCAAGCGTTTGGAGACCTACAAGGACCTGGATTCAGATAGTGAAGACTGGACAAAACATTTCAGTCTCCCTGCAAACAGGGGTGAAGAAACAGCCACTTTAACACGGATGACCACTAAACCCTTGAGGAGGAGTCAGAGTGCTCGGGCTCATTTTCAGACGCACGTGAGGCATAGATCTCTGGGTCGCTGTGGAAGCTCTCGGTCTCAAGTGGCATTCAGTAGCACCATAGTGAGTAACGTCTTTAACTGCTTTAAAGTATCTCTGCTCCTTAAAGTTTGGGAGAGAGTGAACAAGTGATGTTGCCATGCTGTAATCGGTAACTGCAGCAGTACAAAATAAAGGGTGCCTAGTTCATGCAGTTTGAAACTGGCCAGAGAAATACAAAGCTGCTCTAAATTTTGAAGCCAGGTAGAGAAACAGTCTTGGGCGGCTGCAGAAAGTGGCATGGACTACTGAAGCTGCTTTGGGATCAGCAGTACCTACCATTGTGCCTACTTTCTTCCCACCAGATCACCCTATATAGTTGTAGCTGAGCAGATATTACAAAAACATCATTTAAGTCTGTGGTATTTTTTCTTGCAAAGGAAACTCACCCTGTAGAACTGGAATGTCTCTGATGCAGTGAAGAATCCTGATGGCTCTTTTGTGAGCACAGAATTGTACAGTTCTGTCAAAAAAATAAAATATATTTGTAATATGCTAAAATAACATCTAGTTATCGTGTAATATGTATATGACACTCAGTCAGTTATCCCAAGGCTCCCAGCAGATGGCTACAATATTGAGCTTGAGCTCTGGGTAGTGTGTGCACTCTGGGAGCCAGTGTGACGTAGTATTTAGAATATAGAGCTAAGGCAGGGGTGTCGAACGCATTTGTTATGAGGGCCGGATCTGACATAAATGAGACCTTGTTGGGCTGGGCCATGTGTGTCATAAAATGTAATGGTAGGTAGTGGAGATATAAACTTTATAAAGGACATAAACACAAAAGGTTTTTTTTACTTAAAATGAAAACATGCTTAAAACATTAGCACTCTTGCAATATTTTGTTTATTTAACAGTGTCTGATAACTGACACCTCTTGCTCTGAATTATTGCATCAAAATATCTGTGCTGTTGCAATCTTGAGTATGCTGTTCAGGTGTGTATCTGTAAGCTGCAGACCTATGATGACGCAGCAGCAGCAGAACTGGAAGAAGAAGCAGAAGACAGCCAGTTTCACTGCAGGCCTGATAGAAGCCTTCCAGGGGCCTGATCCGGCTGTCAGCTTCGTCAGGAACTCTCAGATGCAATAATTCCTTTAACCGGCTTTATTGAGAAATCAGGAAAGTTGCTGTAAAGTCACTCTTTGGCAGAACTGAGTAATATTACAAAGTTGGGAATTATAAGACCTTCGGTCCAACCGTCATTCATACGTCAGGATTACATAGTGCATAGACAGGTTAATACAGTACAACCAGGAGGGTGTGTTATCATTTCATGTCTTCCCCCCAAGGCCATGAGAATTAGAAACGGTGACGTTCTCTCTGTCCTCTGTGGAGGAGGCTTCCTTTCACAGTGGTGCTAGTGCAGCTAATCTACAGTTCACACATACATGTCTTAATCCCCCCCCCTTCAGGAATATCAGGGGAGGACCACGTAGACAGCACCTGCAGGTGTGGAGATGAAGCTTGGGAATCAGAAGCTTAATGAGAGCTCAAGCGGGGTAAACAATAACAGTGCGAAGCTATGTAAATCAGGGAACCACTGTGACAAATACATGATCAATAGTCAGGCTAGGGTCCAATCCTGACACCGGCCCCCGGGCTGCATGTTTGACACCCCTGGGCTAAGGTCTCAAAAGTCCAAGTTCAAATCCCTCCTCTGCTGTCAAAGCTCGCCAGGTGACCTTGGGCCTGTCACTGTCTCTCAGCCTATACCACCTCATGGGGGCTGTCATTGTGAAGTTAGAGGAGGAGGCAACAATGTGATAAGCTGCTTTGGATCCTGATTAGGGGGGAAAGATGGATGTACATAAAATATAAAATAAACACCTGACTCACAGAACTCTTTATTATTGACAGAAAATGTTTAAGACCAAGTCCTAAAACTGAAATGTGTTCCTAGGTAAAGATCTTGTAAGCAGTGGAACAAATTTAGCTCTGATTAATGGAACTGGAACTCTTGAAAACAGCACAGCCAGTTGTTGTTGTTTTTGTTGTTTAAAAAAAGTATATATGAATTAGGCTCCATTCAGATTTGCATTATTATTTACATAAATGCTAGACAAAATCTTGGTTCAGGAGAAAAGATAACAGATGTGCCTGAAATGCCAGGTCAATACACTTTGTCGATTTTTGCTTAATAAATGCCAAGATTCTTGATGTTTATGTGCCAGGCATGAAAAATGACAGCCACAGGTAGAATGGAAATAGAATGAAATCGGCACTGCAGAGAGAACACCATGTTTCCTAGCTAAAAGTTAGTGCAACATCTTCAAACACCTGCTTCTTGATCCTGTTGCCAAGAAATCTGATCATCAGCAGAGCAGAGGACCCTATGCTGAGCTGTAATGGAGACTATCTGTGCTAGCAACTCCCAAAATAACTATGTGCAACCACAATAAAAAGTCAAGGATTTTTTTTCCTCTTGAAATGAGGCAATAGAACTCCTCACATTTTGAGAGGTCCTGTGGAGAGCATCTTGCCTGAGGGCTCCCCACAGCTGGCATTGGCTGCTGCCCTCAGGAATGTGTCTGGTGCCAGGGTTATCAAACTAACTCTTCCTCTTCTTCTTTTGCACAGTATCCTAAGCATGCAGGACATTTTTTTATTGAATAATGTGTGTTCCAGGAAAAGGATGTTACCCCAGACAACAGGCTGTTGATGAAAGTGAGAAATACATCATGCCAACTGGACTCTTTGATACCATTTATGTCTGCAAAAACCACCTCTTCCATCACTGACTTTTTTCTCGCCCTCACCCTCTGCAACACCGTGGTGGTCTCCACAGCAACTGATCCAAGACAAAGGGTAATCTTGCTTTAGCTGTACTGTTTGGAAAGGAGATTTAAAAAAAGAGAGAGAGAGAGAGAAAGAAAGAAATCTAGAAAATGCACTGAATTCAATAAAAGGGTTGAAAGCTTTATGCTGACAACAAGCTAGGAAGTTTAAAAAAAAAGAAAAGAAAGAAACCTGCTTCAGTATTGCATTGTGGGGAGTTTAGTTGCCCTTTGGCCTCCAGTAATTCCACTGAACATTTTCGCTGTCTCTGCCTTCACATGTCTCTGCCTATCTGCTTGCCCTGGTGGTCCAAAGGAATATGCTAATCTGAAATTGAAACAGTATTCTCCTATATTTCTTGATAATGGCTGCAAGCATCAATTGATGAATTCCCGTGATTAGATTATTAAAGTCTTAATTGTGGATTAAAAGCACTGTGGTTCATCAAGCTAGTCGCTGTCTTTCCAGAGTAATCTCTGTTTGTGCTATGAAGAGTACCCTGGCTTGTACAATGGAATATAGAGCTGAAACTGGGGGGAGAAATAACTATTTAAATATATCTTAGTCATCTCAGCACCTTGTGGAAGATTGTTCAGAATATGAGGAATAAACTAGAAGTCCTCCTTCATTCTGCTAAGATTGTGTTTTTTGAAATCATGCCTAGAGGACACTGGCTCATGGGGACTGCAAAGCCTATCAAACCAGGCTCAGAAGTCACCAGTTAAGCTAGTGGACCTAAGGCTTTTAGTACTGCCTATGTTCCAGGTTTGACAAGAACTGTACAAGGACCAAAGTATATGAGATACTGAGATTTCTATGCATGAGGTTTCCAGCATTCTTTTTTGGATTGGAGAAAACTAAGGCAAAGTCAGACCACAGTTGGGACTGGTGCCACAGGGCAGGAGTAGGGAGGGCTTAAACCTTCTATCCAATGCCATTTTCCTAGACACAAAATGTAAATGTACATTTTACCTGCATGTTTGTCTAGAGGACAAGCTGCATCTCATCCCAAAATCTACTGTGGTTTGGCCCTAAGAATAGCTTTCCTTTCTCTAAAATGTAGAGCTGGCCACCCCTTTCCTATCTATCAGATAGATAGAAAATGACACTTCAGCCTGGCATAGGGATGGGGGGAAAGGATTGGAGAAAATTAAGGCAAAGTTGTGGACCTCAGTGCTACCAGGTGACTGTCCCTACTAGTTGACTATAAATGCAGAATGGGAGTTCTGGAGTTATAACTTATGGATGCTCTGCTAACGGAAGAGTGATCTTGTCCAGTTCATCTCCTCCCAGGAAAGTGCCAGGGTGCAAATCCAATTGCTTACTTACTCTTGTCCAGTTCATCTCCTCCCAGGAAAGCGCTTACTCAATATATGCAAATCCAATTGCTTACTTAATTAACTTACCCAACTAGATAGTTTGAAAACCAAATCCTAGAGAGCTGCTGCCAGTTTTAGTAGACAATACTGACCTTAATTATCAGTATCCTGATTCAGTAAGACGTAGCTTCATGTGTTCAAGTGTTGATTTCATCCATTCAGAAAACTTTGATTGACAGCCTCATTCTGTGTGTGTGTGTGTGTGTATGGTTTTTTATGTGACAAGGTTATGTAACCATTCATTCAATTATCCCAGTACATTCACAGATTTAAAGGGTTTTCAGTCTATGTCTTCTTCTCTAATACTAAGAATATAAACCAGAAAGCCACATCCATAATCTAGATGTCAGTTTAACAAGCTCCTCATTGTAACTAGTAACATCTCCTGGTGGGTGCTTATTTCACAAGTGTGGTGTGTGATGCGTTGATAGTGCTCTGGTGGTTTGAAGACAACCCTATGCCTTGCTCTTTATAAGTTCAGCTCTAATTAATCCAAATTGCCTCTTTTCTCTGAAGGTTACTACTCCGCCCCTAATCAAACCATCAGGAATTTCCCTGGAGAGAATCCACCAGCTGTTCCAGCAGCTAAAGCTGGCAAGCCTCTCCTATTCTTCCACATCAGCTCGGTCTAGTTCAGACACAGGAGACAGTTTCAGCACAGAAAGCACCAGAGTCTGTGCCAGTTCCAATGCAAAAAATTATTTTCCCACCCAAAGCTGCTCAACCTTAACAAATTATGACAGTTTTCAAGAAGACTCAGTTATTCCAGAAGAGGCCTCTGGGGCCAGCGACGCCTGTTTGCATGAGATTTGTGAGACAGATACCGAGGGGTCTTTGCAACCAGAGTTTTGTTATGAGGCTGAAAGCCCAGATGAAGCCGCTCTTGTCCATGCTGCCCGTGCATACCAGTTTACATTAGTGTCCAGAACTGCTGACCAGGTGGCTGTGAGCTTGCCAGAGGGTACCCTCCTCACTTTTGACCTCTTGTATACTTTGGGATTCGACTCCAATAGGAAACGCATGTCTGTGGTGGTGAGGCATCCCCTGACCAAGGAGATAATTGTCTATACCAAAGGGGCTGACTCTGTCATAATGGACTTATTGGAAGACCCTGCCAGAGGTAACTTGTGCATTAACCAATGAATTGTTGACAAAACACTGCTTGGTTTGCATGAATTATGTATCCAATCTGCAAAATTACAATGAAAGCACAAGTGTTAGCTCTCCGAGTACCGCAGCTCAGAGCAAAGACATGGCAGTTTGTCTAATTGGAGAGTGCTCAGAATGTAGAACAGCCTAATTAAGATTCAAAGGTAGCCTGCATAGATAGTTCTATGTGCTGTATGGTAATGGCACGAGAACCTTCTGTGTTGTGATGCCATAACAGGAAGGAAGATAGGCACCACTATCTAACAGTACTATTCAGGGAAATTTAAGCACAGTTAAGTCCCTTTGCACTATTAAGTGTTAACATTGTGTTGATTTCAGTTTGCCTGTGGTAAAGACAGATGCAATGTAAAAACAAAACTCAAAGCTGCTTTCTCCTCATTTTGCAACTATGCTGGCTCAGATCTGTCTGGCCACCCAAATTCAAACAAGACACTTACCTTTTTTAGTTTAAAAGGGCTACCAATGTTTTTATGTGTTTATCTATTCATTTACTGCTTTATTACTAAAAGGGTTAGATTAAAAAAAAACTCACAAATCTGCTTTGGGAATTAGGATTGAGAGGCTCTTTTTGACATCACGTACAGCCAGCTACTGCAAATTTGCAGCACTGTTTTGTTTTCCCAAAGAGTGTGGCTCTGGAGAGAAAAGGTTCATTTGGAAAGGACACAGTGAGCCGCTATCCAGACTAGCCTCAGAACACACACACACACCCCCCCAAGGTTATTTCTCTGATTTTGCATCCAGTTACATTTATGCATCTTTGTGGGCATACAACACATTTATATATCTGGAAAAGGATTATTGCATTATTAGAAAGCATGGCAGTGAGACACCAGGTTTGGCTGTTAGGCATGGAATGCTCAGTAGCTGGAATAAGCATCACTCTGCCTGTGTTTCACAGCTACCATGACTATGGAAAAAAGGATAAGAAAAGTAAGAGTTCAAACACAGAAACATCTAGATTTGTATGCACGAGACGGCCTGAGAACTCTGTGCATAGCTAAGAAGGTAAGATGCAGTTATCTGTTGACTTTAGCCTGAAAATGTTAAATAATTTTTTGCTTAAGAAAAAGGAAGGCTTAGACAGATATTTCAAGTCAGTTCCCCTGTGGAAAGCTGGTTCCATATCTGCATTCACAGGCTTGTTTCCTATTCCTTTTTATCTCCTTCCACTGAGTTATATGAAAATTAAGCTAAATGGACCAGTACGCTTATCCGTTCTTTTTTCCATTTTAACTTGTGATTATCCTAATTTTTTTTTAATTTCAAATGATCTTATTTTTTTATGATGCACTGTATCCATGTACCCATTTTCATCCCATCCTTCTTTCAAGGGGCTCAAAGTGCTGTACATGATTCTCTCCTCCCCTACTTTATCTTCACCACAACCCTATGAGATAGGTAGGGCTGAAACAGAAGAACTCTCCCAAGATCACTCAACAAACTTCATGGCTAATGGGAATTTGAACCTTGAATTAACTGTTACGCTACACTGGTGATTCTATACTTCATTTAGGCTGATTAACAGTTATTTAAATTGTTTAAAACCTGTGGCTATTTTCGCATTAAGGTCTGCAGAAATGTTTTAATTGGTTATTTAAACTATTTATGCTTTCACGCTTTAGCCATGCCACTTCTTGAAAAAGTGATTTGTGTGAGTGTGTGGCAAAGTATGCAAATGAGCTGGGGATCAGATGAGATGCTTGGTTCAGCACTCAGACCCAGTTCCAGGTTCTGTAGGTCCCTAGACAGAATGATTTCCCATGGTCCCATTATGCCTCCCTATATTTGTAGAGAGGGAAATGCATGTAGGGTGGGACCCACTCTATGCAGTGTCCACGTAGAAGAACAATGTATACATTCATAAGTAGGATATGTTGTCGAAGGCTTTCACGGCCGGAGTTCATTCGTTGCTGTAGATTTTCCGGGATGTGTGGCCGTGGTCTTGGCATTGTAGAACCTGACGTTTCGCCAGTAGCCATGACTGGCATCCTCAGAGGTATAACACAGAAAGATGGAGTACTCTCTGTGTCAAGGTAGGCAGTAAATTTATATCTACTCTAGAAAATGGTAGGCAGTAAATTTATATCTACCCTAGAAGGTGGGTAGGGCTGAGTCATTGTCTTGTAGGAGTTCCCCAGGCTATGGACATGCTAATGGAGGAGCTTTCTTGAGAAGGTTCTTTTGTTTCTTGAGGAGGTTTCCTGCTTCCTGAGGAGGTTGTTGACATTCTAATCTTATCTGTAGTGCTATTGTAAAGCCTTTTGTGTTTTTCAGGACAGGAAGCCATGTCCTATTTATTTTTAAGCTCTCTTCTTTCCTGTTGAAATTAGAAGAGAGTTTATAAATAGGACATGACTACCTTCTAGAGTAGATATAAATTTACTGCCTACCATTTTCTTCTCACCTTGACACAGAGAGTATTCCATCTTTCTGTGTTTATACCTCTGAGGATGCCAGTCACAGGTACTGGAGAAATGTCTGGTTCTACAATGCCAAGAAAACAGCCACACATCCCGGAAAATCTACAGCAACTAATTCATAAGTAGCATTCCTACTTTTGGGTAAAGATATCTAGAATCAACAGAATCCAGTATGCTTACTCCCACATTCCCTCTCTGTATACAGTACATCAGTATACTGTATACAGGCTTTGTCTGTCTCATACGTCTGAAGGCATTGAGCTCTGGGTAAAGAACCCTTTTGCCCACTTGATAAAGCAGCCTTTCCACATTTCAAAAAGTCTTGTAGGTCATGTTTAGGGCCATTCCTGGGTCAGGGAGAAGCAGAAGGGTAGAAAGCAGTCTTCCCTTTAAGCTGAATTAGTGTGAGCTATCTCACAGTTTTTTAACCTCTGGCTCACACATTTTTGACTTAGCTCAGGAAGGATGACTCCAGAGCAAACTAATTTATGCAGTAGCTCACAAAGTAGAATTTTTGCTCACAAGACTCCATAGCTTAGAGGGAGCATTGGTGGAAAGTTGGTCATCATCGTCACATGACACAGAAGACAGTAAACAAACCTTGTATTGGCACACTCCTTCTTCCCTCTCCCTCCTTGACTTCCATATTCTGATTTCCTCCTCCCTTTAGCAGTAAACCATGTTTTTGCCATTACATCCAAGAATAGCAAACTATGGTTTGTACCAATCAGAACTGGAAACTATGGACAAGCGATATTTCCTATTTGTTTTGAACAGCAGGTGTAAGTAATAGTTTGCTAGTTCAGTTGTCATGGAAAAATATTGCTTTCTGTGAACCAGGAGGGAAGAAAGGAATCCCAGTAACTATGGTGTGGCATTTTGGGGCTCCACCCCCTCAGATGTAAGGCATGCCCCACAACAGCTGCTGTCGCTCTCCCCCCTCACCCTCCCTCCCCTCCTGTGACATTAAAAGGGCCCTTCAGCTGATTGGTGGGAGCACGTCACCCACCAATCGGCTGGAGGGCACTTTAAATTTTGCAGCCGCCCCTCTCCCTCCCCTCCTTCAAGATTTAAAGGACCCTCCAGCTGATCAGTGGGACCTTTAAATTTTGCAGGAGGTGAAGGAGAGGGGCGGCTACCAGCCCCATGCCTTCTCCGAACTCCAAGCAGCGATTTTGCCATTTGGAGATCAGGTGCAAGCAGGCCCCGCTAGAAAAACTGCCTGCACCTGATCTCCAAGCAGTCAAATCACCGCTTGGAGTTCAGGGAAGGCATGTGGCCACCCCTCTCCCTTGCAAGGGGAGAGGGGTGACTGCTGGCTGCCAGCAGCTGCCCTCTCCCTCACCTCCTGCAAGGGACGGGGGTGGCCGCATGCTTTCCCTGAACTCCAAGTGGCGATTTCGCTGCTTGGAGATCAGGTGTGTGCAGCCCCTGCTAGAAAAACAGCATTTAAAGGGTTCCCTTTAAATCCTGTTTTTCTACTGGGGATTGCCCATGCCTGATCTCCAAGTGTCAAAATTCATGTAATCCTGAGTCACCTATAATGATTTTTGATCATACAATAGCATAGTCGTTTGTACAACCCATCCTCAGGGCCAGGCCCAGCTTATTTGGCACCCTAGGCGAGGATCCCTTCTGGCGCACCCCCCCCCCCCCCGCCCACACACCACG